TGGAGCCATTACACTAATGGCTCCTCCTGCTGTGACGCCATCTGCCCCGCAGGTAATCCAACACTGCTTGGAGGCATGGGCCGAGTGGGGTAAACCTGAATGTATTAAGACTGATAATGGTCCCGCCTATACTTCAGCCAAATTTCGTGATTTTTGCATGAAGATGGGCGTCAAATTAGTGACTGGCATCCCTTATAATCCACAAGGTCAGGGGATAATCGAACGTGCTCACCGCTCTATTAAGGAATTGTTGCAAAAACAAAAAACCACCTGGGAATCGCTTGGCCTCGCCAGTCAGAGCCCTCGGGCCACTCTAGCCCTGGCTCTCTTCACCATCAATTTTTTACAGCTGGATGAGAAAGGCCTTAGTGCTGCAGATCGTCATTCCCTTAACACGGCGCAAGAGCAATCTTGGGTCAAGTGGAAGGATGTTCTGGAGTCCAAATGGAAGGGCCCAGACCCAGTTATTAGGCAGGCTCGAGGAGCCATTTGTGTGTTTCCACAGGACGCCCCAGTTCCGGTTTGGGTTCCAGCTCGATTGACTCGTTCCTGTCCATCACCGCCTTCTGACGTTTCTGCAACCGCTGGAGCGCTTGCACGAGGATCTGACTTGGGGAAGATTCATGCAACCCCGCAATCAGAAACTCCTCCTACAATCCCACAGGACAATGGTGCCCCGCCCAGTGCAAACACGGCTGATGGTGCAACTAATGGTCTGTATGGCGCTTGTGAGGACCGTGATTGCTGAGCCACGATGAGGAGTTCTGAGTGTTTTTCCACGACCCTTACCGGTCGCCCACTCAGCCCGAGTGTTTCCTTGATTTTTTCTTCTTTGGATTTGCCTTTTCTCCCTTATGATGATATTAAGGAGAATGTGAGTAATTTTTTATTCCCCCTACAGGACGCGCTTTGTTTTCAAGCATTTCCTGAGAATTTTAGTGTCAAGGTTTATGTGTTACTTCCATTCCTTTTCAGAATGTTTCAACGGCTGCTAATATTTCTTGCCAGCTTTCTTCTTATCTTTTAGGAAATTGGACGAGAGAATTTGATATTTTACAGTCGGAGTTGTGAATTGCCATTGTCCAGATTAATTCTACATGGGTGGATCCTGTAGTTGCTGAAACCCTGGCCACTTGGATTTGGAACATCACTTCCCATATTAAGGAATGGGTGGGAGTGGTTGTGCTGATTCTGCTCTTGTGTGCAGGCTGTGCCTTATGCCTTTTTTGCCTGTGTCATCTGAGACACCGCGCTCAGCGAGATCGTGTGGTAATACATCAAGCCCTACTAGCCATGCAGTATGGTGACTCCCCCATGGTATGGTTGAGCATGCTTCAACGGGTTTAGTTAAGAGCATGGACATCATGGCTCCTGCACCTCAGGCCATTATGGCATTGCACTGAGTTCGAGCATGATGCACCCGACTAGCCCTTGCACCTCGCAGGACTTATCCATTGCACGCGAGAGGGTAGTCACTCTTATAACTGCCTTGTCGAGACATTGCTCTTTACAACCACCGCGGTTGTAGCCCATGACGGGTAAGATAGACCCAGACAATTATCGGTCTAAGACAGGGACTACGTCAAGCTACGCAGCCTCCCTATGACGGATCGTGCGCCTTGAGTCTACAACCTAAGACAGGCCCATACCAGCTTATTTTTTCTATTGTGTAAGAAGGGGAGAGATGTTGCAAGCCGCATCTGTATGCACTGGCCACATGCTGTGCCTAAAATGGCGCCGGCCAGAGAAGCCACACCTTCGTGCGTGTCACGTAGCCTAGCGCATGCGCAGTGAGCTGCGGCGTGGCCGGCGCGTGAACACTGGGGACTGACGAATCCGGTCACCCAGGACCCTGCGTGATCATGACGCCGACCTATCATCGGCGGAGGCGGGGCCAGTCAGCACATAAGAGTAGAAAGCCTGCCGGGGTTGGGGCCCCCTTCCTCTTCCTCATCTTTGTGCGTGCAATAAATTTTACCGCAGAAGGCTTCACTCGCGTCTGCCTCTTACTGCTGGGCGGTAAGACACGTGGGCGCGACAGTATAGCCAGGCCCTATAAGATTATAATCAGATTCATGCAGTCATTTGCTTCTCCAATAGTTAACACCTCCATGGCCTGAACTGCATTGAGGAGTTCCATCTTTAGTTTGGAAGAACCTTCAGCCTTAATTCCTTGGGGAGGCAGGAAATTATGTAATAGCAGCCCAGCCTCCTGCTCTGTATTTTACAATTTCTTTCACCATCCCAGTAACAGTGGTTGGCTTTCTGGGCACTGAGCAAGCACACAGGTTTGTAAGGCTTTCAACTCCATTGAAGGCAGCATGGTGGAAAGGCTGATCTTAAGGTCATGTTAGGCATGTAGAGCTCAAGGAAGCACCAGGATCTTCCATTATAACATGGTGACCCAAGGAGTGTAGGGGCTCAAAGTCAGACAGCTAACCGCAGCATCATGCATAAAACCAAGCCTCCCAATCCTTAGCTTCAGTTTCCACTGTATCCTTGTAGAGGACTCCACCTTGCCAAGCCAGATTGGGACAGCTCCACAGCTAAAGAGGCAGTTCGTGAGACTCAAAGAGGAGGAAAGCATGGCAGCACGGGTTTGGAGTGCAGCCTACAAGGACTGTCAAAGACAGGAATCCGACTAGCGCAATAGCTGCTGTGAGTGTCACACGCCCGCACCTTTGCCCCATCTGTGTGCAAACAAAGGCTCGTGCACTGTCACCCGCCTTCCCTAGAGTGGTTTTCTGTGGCACAGGCCTTAGGCCACCCACAACACTAAAACCAGAGGAAAAATGGAAGCTCAGTTTTGTGCAGTGTGCATGAAGATTACAAGAAGTTCCTGATACCCCAACTTATTAAGAATTTGGGGATTCTCTTCCCTCCTGAGCAAGTGCGCTTTGGCAATAAAGTTCCGGGCATCTAAAAGGGTTCATTGGAATTTAGTTCACTCTCTCCTTTCCTCATCTTTTTTTTTTTCTTTCTCTCCTCACCTTATATACTCCCATTTGTAAAAGATTTTTAAAATTACTATGAATCTGTCCGGTGTCCTCTCAAAATTTCGATTTCAGAATTTCTTTGAAAGCTCAATTAGGAGTTGGGGTACAACTGAGTGTCATAAAAGTAGCTAAAGCAATGGCCTAATTAAAAAAAAAAACTACATTTAAAACAAAAACCATCTTGATTATAGCATCTCTGCTGGTTGTTTAGATAGAATATAACACCTAAAGACTTCTCTGTGAGATACTTAATTCCTAGGATAAAAATGCTTTAAAAACTATCATCAAAAGTACACTCCAACAGGGAAATAACATTCTAACTAGGTAACTAGGTACATTCTAACCAGGAAAACAACTCCTAGTAGAATACTGCAACCTGGAGGACCCAAGTTCAAGCAGATCTCAAATGATCCCTTGAAAGTGACAAGATTTTTAACAAGAGATATACAGAGCTGTGCCCTCCATGGAACTTGAAAATAGGATGTTTTGTGCTCAAAGAACACAGAGCACACAGCAGCAGAACTGCGGGGTTAGTGACTTGTCTAAGGTTGCCGATTCCCTTGACCTTGGTGGTATCTCTGGGCAAAGAAGTCAAGTGCAATGATTCCAGGAGCTAAGGGCATTCTACTAGAACCAGTGTGGCCAAAGGTATGAAATGGAAGTAGAATAAACACCAGCAGAATCTTCTCTGGTTCTGTTTCTGATACAGCACTGGGGGGTTTTAAACGGGCTTGTTCTAAGCGCATTTTCATAGGACCATTTAACCCCAAGGTATTTCCTGGATACATACACCCACAAAGGTTTAGAAACACCAGAAATTTTTAAGACTTCAGTGGCAATTTTTCCTTTGGGTAGCAATACTCTTAGGCCTAACAATGCTTCACCTTAGACTTTGAAAAAGCTTAAGGCAACCGAAAAAAAAAAATAGTAGGTACTAAACTCCCTAGAACTTTTCCTTCTGATTGAATTATTAAGAAGCCAAAACCACTAAGAACAAAACCATGCAAAACACATGTTATGTATCCAACGCTCTACAGACACACATGTGCACACACACAAACACACGGGAAAGCCGAAATTGGAATTCATCTTCTGAAATTTAAAGATGACACTTTCTCTTTATCACAGATGTTCCTAGATCATCCTATTTCTCCTATACCTGTATTGGATGGTTCAAAAAGGTTGTGGAAAATAGATCCAAAAGAGCTTCCTTTGATGCGAACATGTTTTAAATTTACACATGTTTTCATAGCATGTATTTCCCATGAACTTTTTGACAAACACTATATCCTTTGTTGGTCCCTTTTAACCTTGTGTGATTCCGTCTTAAGATCACCCAACATCTTCAGGAAGCACCGACAGCAAGCAAATTCCAGCTTATTTCACAGCACACCAACTCCTTGAGGCCCCTAACTTGCTATCAGTCATTTGAAACTCAACTACTCCTGAAGGATGACCTTCACTGACAGGCAGGAAAGGTTTAAACTCATCTTGAATTCCCAATCTACTAACCCAATACAAACCAGTGAATCAGTTCATTTTGAATCAGAAGCACCAAACCAACTGCTTACACATGTGTATTTCAAGACTGAAAGCCAGAAAGAAAACCACCGTCCTAATGGTATCTTCACATCAATAAGAACAATGGTAGCTTGCCACTCCTGGCTGCCGATCCTTAGCCTGGAGAACTGGATTCCCTCCTCATGCACCCTCAAGAACTGGACCAGCAGAAAGGGTCTGTCCACAACGAAAGAATCACTGTGTTCGACTTACTCATCCCAAGATGAGACAATGAGCAGTGTTTGTCTCTCTAGAAGTTACGAGAAAGGCTTTCTCGTGCCAAATACGAGCCAAACTTGCCCCGCCAAAAACCCCCTAAATTAATTAGATGATCACCCAGGTCTCATGCCAATACCCTTCATACCCTGGATCAATTATCCATAGTGATTTACAAACTCTCACAAGGCAAGCCACTGCAGATGCTGCTCTTGACCGCGAACTTACAGCATTCACTGTGCGACGTTCCCAGGTAGCCTCAGCTTACGCTTCACCATGAAGATGTCCTACAGAAGCGGGAGGGCTCCGGGCCTTCCTTCCTTCCCCGGAGAGGTGGAAATGACCTAGGATGGGAAGAGAAGAGAACGAAAAAGGTAAATGCATCGCCTTGTAACTCATCATCTCAGCAGGAGATCATGTAGCCCAACTGACAACGCTGACCAAGACCACTTTTCAGTCCCCTACTCTTAAATAAGCAATTCAATCTATTTGCACTTGCCACAGGGGACATAGCACGGCACAAGTAGCCTTTTAGTAGCCTTGCCCCTCAACCTCTTCCATTGAGTGATTACCAATTCTGGGAAATCTCAGATACAATCTTAGCTGAGACACAACCCTGCAACACAACTTCAAAATAAGCCACTTGTTTTGACTCTGCAGAGGCGAGTAAGGACTAACACCTCCTGTGTGAATTTTCATGCTTCAGTGGGTTGCTAGAAAGATCAATAAGATGCTACTTGCAAAGCATTCAGTTGCCTAAAAGAAAAGGCTCTATGCAAACACAGAGTTTTATTAGTGGTCTTAGTCTGGTGCTGAGCTCCAAGCCAGGATAGAAAAGCCAGCTTTGGCAAGGCTCCAACACTCAGATATCCCTGGAGTGCCCATATGCCTGCAGAGCTTGCTATGCTAGTACCCAGTGGGGAGAAGAGAAATGCAACAGCATCATCCAGAACCTGTAGGAGAAAGGCAGGCAAGGTCCTGGAGCAGGAAGCTAAGGGAAGTGAGAGTACACAGCAGGCTTGAGAGGCATGTCAGTGGTGTGATGATTTGGCACATGCTACACAGCTCTCCCAGACCACTGCACGCTGAAGAGTTTGCACTTCTGTGAAATTTTCTACTTGGCTGTCAGCCATTCTGTCCGCCAAAGATAACACACAGAAGTGGGCCATGCAGTCCTGTTGGAAAGACACTGGATAAGGCGTGTCTGCTTGCTGTTTTTCGTGAGAACACCTGTTCAACATCCTGACCATTAATATCTCCCACACCCGAATCTCTTGGCCTCCCTCTGCAGTCCTCCCTTCTCGCCCCACCCTGTGTAAGGCAGACTGGGCCTTGCTTCGGGCCATTGTTATCTAGCGATTCAGACTATGTGCACTCTTGAGAACGGCACTTGAGGTATAGGAACTTACATGAGTAGCACTGAGGACCATGGAACACACAGGATTTCAGTGCTCAGCCACTATTCTGCATGTCATCCACACGTGCCAACTTCATTTCTCCCCTCCAAGTCAGGAGCACATATTGCACTGAACAACCTAGTTGTTTTCTGCTTTTGTGATTTCTGCCTTGCTTGCTTGGCTGGGGGCTGTGTGAACTCCAGGTCTGACAGTCTACGTGACACCCAGCAGGTCATGTAGGCAGAGCACTCCTCAGGAAGGAGACCCCTGGTGTGCTTGTTAGATAAATCACTTGTCTACAGCCATACCTCCCTGAGCGTGACCGATCTCGTCTGATAAGTCGTTCCCTGCCCGATAGACCACCAGTTTGTACTTTTTGAAAGTTGCCTGCTTCAAACCCACGAATAGAAGCCTGTCAACTTGCTCTTTTTAAAGGTGAACAGTTAAACTGACTGATCATGAATGTAGAATTCTATGGAATTGGCCTGAAATGTGTAAAAACCCTGTGTAGTTCAACCTTGCTCTTCTTTTGCCAATTCTGCTGCAACTTGTGGTTGGGAGCCTAGTCTGAATAAACTGCCTTATGCATTTGCATTGACTTCAGATCCTGATGGTTTTGGGGGGATCTCAAAATCGGGGCATAACACAAGTACACCTCAAAATAAAGACATTGAAACAAATGGAGCGATAAGGGGCTGGTGTGATGGCTCACCTGGTTAATCTCCAACTGCAAGCAATGACAGCCTATATGGGCACTGGCTTGCCTGTCCCGGCTGCTCCACTTCCCATGCATTTTCCTGCCTGTGGCTTGAGAAAGCAGTGGAGGACGGCCCAAAGCTTTGGGACCCTGCACCAGTGTGGAAGACCCGGAAGAAGCTCTTGGCTTCTAGCTTCAGCAATTGTGGCTATTTGAGGAGTGAACTAGAGGATGGAAGATGTTTTTCTCCCTGTCTCTCTTTCTCTATTTAAAATCTGCCTTTCCAATAAAAATTAAAGAAAAAAAAACAGAGAGACAAAAATAGAGCAGAAGTGAGAGAGGCAGTGTCTGCTTCTCATATAATTAACCATCAGTTTTATAGTGAATGCAGTTTTCCAAGTTCTTTTTGATTAATTAACTCATTCACCCCACAGATTTTTCTATGGTGTCACTACACCAAGTTGGACAAGTTCAGTTGGGGGTGCATACAGGGTTCCTTATCTCAAAGGGGAGAGACATGAATTATAACTGGGGCCAGCACTGCAGTGCAGTGGGTTCAGCCACCATCTGCAGTGCTGGTCTGCCATGTGGACATCAGTTCACATCATGGCTGTTCTTCCAATCCAGCTCCCAGCTAATGGCCTGCAGATAGAAGAAACCCCAGGTGCTCCTGGCTTCCCTCTGGCCCAGTTCAGGTTGTAGGAGCCATTAAGGACATAGATTAGCAGATAAAGATCTCTTTCTTTCTCTATTTTTTTTCAAAATATTAAATAAATCTTTAACAAAATCAACAGATGATTTTTTTTTTTTAGTGCACACACACACATACACAATTTATAAACAGGGACAAGCAGTATGAAGGAAAAACAGCATTGCAGCTTGCAGTCCCAGTGGAGGTCACTCCTTTGGAAGGAGCAGCTCAGGAAAGCATTTCTTTGGAGAACTTAACAGTCAAGAAGGAAGTAAAAGATGAGACGCCAGGCCAGGCCAGCAAATTTCAAGGTACAAGAAACAGCCTGAGCGTGAGTTCATCTGATCTTGAGATGCATGGCTGATTTCTGCTACACCCTTGTTATTTTCCATTTTGGCTGGATCATCTTGATTAAGAAATGGGCAACAGAACTGTTCAATATATTGTAAGAACACAGGAGTCTTCCTTATGACTTTAAAACTAACAAATCAGGGACTGGCAGCATAGCCTAGCGGCTTAAGTCTTTGCCTTGAATGCGCCAGGATCCCATACGGGGCCCGGCAGCTCCACTTCCCATCCAGCTCCCTGCTTGTGGCCTGGGAAAGCAGTCGAGGACGGCCCAATACTTTGGGACTCTGCACCTGTGTGGGAGACCTGGTGGAAGTTCCTGGCTCCTGGCTTCAGATTGGCACAGCACCAGCTATCGCACTCACTTGGGGAGTGAATCATAGGACGGAAGATCTTCTCTGTCTCTCCTCCTCTCTATATGACTTTGTAACAAAAATAAATAAATCCTTTATAAAAAAAGGAACAAAGCAAACCCCCCCCCTGTCTCCCAAAGAACACTAGCTACAGCAAGTCTCAGATCTGACAGAGCAGAGGAGAAAGACTTTGCTCCCAAATGGCCCATCGTCATCCCATCGTCATCACACAAGGCAAAGAACCTCCTGACACCTGTTCGCCACACCTGGAGGTAAGAAATCCCACCCAAGAAAGCGCTGGAAACAGATCACATTACACTTATACTTGACATCTTGGATTAGGTTCCAAATTTCTGGCTTCCTGTTGGCTTTCAGCATATTTTCTATTTCTCTTCCGGACCTGATCAGTATCTAGGTTCACCTGTAACAGGAACCTGCCCTCTGTCTTTCTTGGTATCTAATTTAGTGGTCTATCCATTTACTCCAGCGAATAGCATGAGGCTAATGGGTAAAACCAGATACAGACATCCTGCCCATCAGAAGTGTTCCCTTTTTCCCCTTCCCTGCAGACCAGAACTGCCTCATCTGAATCCTTCCACTAAGGAAGTGCGGTGATCTGCACACTTCACCCTATAAAACAAAAGGCTTCTTCAGACAAGCTCATTCATGTTGTCTCTGTGATTGGAGTCCGTTTGAAAGTCGATCTGAAACAAATATTCCCAAATTGCTCTTCGATTCTGTTTCCATTTGAGACGCCTGGGATAAAACATTTTTTTCTCCTACTAAAGCCACTAATATTACTCCAAATTCAAAGTCCCTGAATGGTCACCATGACTCTGAGGAAGCAGTTTGACAAACCTTAGCATGTTGAGCAAGAAAAAGGGTTTCTTACAGTCAGGATGCCCCCACAACCTGCACTAGATGTGAGAACTGAGGCCCAGATGTCAGTTTCATCCCGTCTCCAGGAAAGAAAAAAAAAAAGACACAATGTCAATTTCCCTTTCCTCCTCTATCCATACTAGCTTCAGTAACAACCACACATTTTGACCCAAGGTCCTTTTCAATTCAGTATTCTGGTATATTACTGACATTTTCTACTTCTCTGGATTTATTTAAGTCTTGAAAGGCTGAGACATTTATAAGCTCCTTGATGAGGGAAACCTTGAAATGGCCTTCTTTGGCAACCTCCGTAGAGTGTCTAGTCCAAGAGTCTTAATTTAAATTAAATGATCCATATCCCCAATGTGCTCCAGAGCTTAACCCTTGCTCCCGTGGAATACCACTCGGGAACTGCAATATAAATGCATATTGCCTTTCTCCATTCTCCAAGCTCCTGGAGCTCTTCCAACACCTGTCTCCCAAAGGGATTCTCTCCACAAATTCATGAACAATGAAATCCTACCTCAGCTTTCTCCTTTCTGTTCTTTCAGACTATGACATTATTTAGTTATTGGTGCCCCTTGAGCAGCTACCACCTCCTTTTAAGATGTACAAAGCCTTCCTCCCCTTCTCACCACCAGGAGTCAACACCCTGGATTCCGGTGGCTACACAAAGCCACCTCAAAGGGACTCCTTGTGATACGTGAAGGGGCGACCCCCTGAGGCAGCAATTCTCAATCTTGAACCAGGAGCAGAAGCGGCTGGGAGTCTAGATTGCTGGATCCACCCCCAAGAACGTCTGTTTCAGGCAGGCCAGAGAACCTAGGGGACGCAGTTCCTAGGTGATGCCACTCTGCAGGGCCAGGAACCAAGCAGAGATGACCTCTGCTCCCAGGGCAGGTGCTTTTGAGTACACACAGCCCTCTGTATCCCTGGGGGCATTCGTCCCAGGAACTCCCTGCTGCTACTAAGACTGGAG